TCCTTGGCATCGTTGTCGTTCCTCTCTCTCTCTCTTTCATCTGTATGCTTCCCTTTCCGATTCTTTCAGCGTAGGGTAGGAAACCAGGCATGTGCTTGGTTAACCTCCCTGCCTTCTCTCTTGTTGTTATTTTTCTCCTCGTTGTCTGTTTTCATCATTATTATATAACGAAAAAAACAGCCTTTGAATTTACCTTTCTTCCTTTCATTCATAGCCAGTGTCTCGTTCTGGCAGATTTGATGCGTTCTGGCAGTAAGTGAGAAACTACGGCGTAAAGACAAAGAGAACCCTCCGCATGACGTCTCCGCAGCCACGAAGAAGCTAAAGATCAAGGGGCTTTAGAAGAACCTGAAACCCCCCGAAACTTCGCAAAGTAGCAACACTTTCCTCCTCCGCTCGATCGCGTTTCTCCTCGGTCTCCTCTCCTTCGCACTCGCATTTCAAACGGGACGCCACCTGCCTTGATCCTGCGTAGCAGACGCCCTTTCACAAAACGAGCGCTTGCTTGGCGGGCACCGCGCTGGGAGCATTCGCGCGAGCCGTCTAACTCATCCCGAAATCATGTAAACGAGTGTAACGAGCTGTACACTAAACAGAGCTGCCCTTGGCAGCTTTGGTTAGTGCTACATAGGATCTGCAGTATGTGCAGAGAGCACACACTGCCGTGCAGTGGAAGCAACAATTCGCGTTCACATGGTCTACACGACACTGCGATGTCGCTGACGACCAATTTTAGCGTTTGGTGAGGCATCGAAGGGTTTCACCTTAATAATGCGTCATAAGGTTTACACGAGCCGCGGTTCTTTCGTGAAGTGGTTAGACGCACCGGTCATATTTCGGAGGTGCACCTCACCGACGCATCCGACATACGAACTATGCCACTGAAAGAGTGAGTTATAGCGTATGAATGAACTAGCATGCGACCATACGCGATTTCTTCGTGAGAGCTTTGGTCGTGCATATAAGCCTTCACACGAAATAGCAAATAAATTATCGCTTGAATCGGCACGTATATGTGTTTGGGTTTATCCCAAATAAGGGAGCACTTCCACATATAAGGATCCACTTGATAGGTTATATATGGTGTGGCCATGCCTTATTAAGGCCGGATTCGACTTATTATACGGGCCAACCGCGTCATATATGGCTGTATATAACCCCATACATGAACCGACTCCGCCAGATATACATCCCTATACGGTAAATAGAAGCCACGTATGCTGACATATATGTTTATATGTGGCCACATATGCTGCCATATGTGCTTATATGTGACCACATATAACCTATATATGGGCCATGTATGGCGTTTCCGTAAGGGAATTAACGACTCGAAGGCATGCACGCTTTGCATAGCGGCGCTCGCATCACCCGTCCCCCCGGCTTATCGGCCTCCGCAAGAAGAGCACCGAAAGCGATTCGCTCTAAAATATACGAGCCCACAAGAAAAACTAACGGAGAGTACTAAACTTAATGTGAGTTCCTGCACTCCAGTTTTTCTTTATTTAAAACATCAAGGTGGAATCTCTGAAGCTTCGCAATCGCAATTTCGGTCGTCGTTCCGCATGCATGCTAAGCGCATAAACCAGCACTGCGAACGTGAAGCAGTCTGCGCAAAATGACGAGCAGAACACGTAAGCGTGTACGTTGACCAACAAGCAGGAGGGCAGCAGCAATAATGAAACCTAAGTGACAAATGGTGACGTATACTGCACAGATAACTGCGACTTGTCTACGGCATTGGAGCGGGCATCGAATCGAGCAAACGCTCAAGCATATTCATAGTGAGAGACGCCCAACTTACTTCGTAAAGTGGATACGAAAATGTCCGTCCTAAGTTCTCACTTCCGATTCTATGTAACCATGTCTTTGGTCGCTAGCGATTGCACTTAACGGGTGGTATCACGAAGTGCTTTTGGTCGTTAATGCACTTTTGTCTGGCAACAGGAGGCGCAACAGCCACCCACGCAAACGAACAGCGCCGTCAGTCTTGGGTGAAAAGTATTTCACAGCACGACACGCACGTAAGGACAAGTTCGTGTCCCTCAAATCAGATGCGCTATAGTCCAGGGAATCCGCACCTCGAGAGCAAAGATGGTAGTCGCGAGCACCCTGTAAACAAGCAAACTCTGCCAGCGGTCCCACGTGATGGTATCTGGCCAGCGCTGGCCTCGGAGAGGTAGAAGAAAGGTGAAACCAGAGGAGGTGGGCGTATAACCACATACTTCGCTACCTTGCGAAGCTTCAAGGGCTTTAGAAGAAGTGTATGTGATGAAATTATGACGTTTCTTCATTCATTTTATTCATTCATTCATTCATTCATTTATTAATTCATTCATTCATTCACTCTCATTCACTCATTATCACAATGGCTGTCGCTGCTTATTTGTGTGAACCTTCCTCTTGCGTGATACCAAATTCGTAGAACGCGTTCGAAGGGTACCATTCAAGGCATTTTTATAAACTCACAACAGCTGGTTTAAGGGATGAAATGAGAGCTTAACTTCTTTTTTTGAAGTACTTGTTATTGTGTAGTTTCTGAGTGAAGCCTGATTCATAGATAAAAAAAAAACTCTGCATCGCAACCAGATCAAGGTCGCAGGCTTTTGAGGATTTCTAAATCTAGGTGTAGTGGTGCCACTACGGCTTCATTGGCAGACAGTGCCGTGGTTGGTTGGCTGCTATCCACTTAAGGGACGGCTCATTGCTCTCGCCTAGTTGAGTACGAAGTACTCGAACTCATTAACACTTTTTCTAAACACATGAAAGTGTATACATTATTTTTAGGCTCGGATTTCCGTTTCTGGGACAGCTTATTGCCCTTCCATAGTAGTACTGGTATAGTACTCTAAATCATCGGATATTTGTTCAAAACACGCAGTCTTGTTGTGGCTCTGTGCTTTCCATTGTGGTATACCAAATACTCTAAATCGTTAACACTATTTACAAACACGCAGCTCTCCCTTATTGCAGCACACTGAGAGTTATCTGTATGTTCTTTAAACCGAACGATTCAGCTTCTGACGTACAGGTGGTCAAGGAGTGACTCTGCTGTAGTCTTCTACATGAAGGGCTTCAGACGTGCTGGCCGTGGATCTTTTGCTCGCGGCCCGTCACTACCCGGCTATAGCCCGACTGGCTGCTATACCGGTATAGATATATTTCTATCATTCTCACATGAGAATCCTCTTCACAAATGACCACACAAATTTAACCTAACTCAGGACGCACTCAGTGAATATATCTTGATCGTGTTCACTCGTACTCGAACTCACCAAAATTTCACCGACCGGACTCACTTGAACTGACTCACTGAACTTTTTCTCAACCGCACTGACTCGCAGTCAAGCTCACCGACATATTACTCAACCGGACTCACTCGCACTCATTGCATTACCTGGGCGAGCCCAATCATGAGTCCGTTAGCGCGAAATGAGCTTTCTCAATCTTGGTGTGAGAGCTCTTTAATTTATGTACTCGCATTACCCTATACAGGCCCAAGAGGTGTATTAATGGGGGTTGATTATGAAACGTTCCAACCAACATATTACTCCACCGGACTCACTCGCACTCATTGCATTACCTGGGCGAGCCCAATCATGAGTCCGTTAGCGCGAAATGAGCTTTCTCAATCATGGTGTGAGAGCTCTTTAATTTATGTACTCGCATTACCCTACACAGGCCCAAGAGGTGTATTAATGGGGGTTGATACGAAACGATCCACTAAATAAAGCATAATAAAAGCTACACCCGAGGAGTAACGAAGACGACACTGTATCATAATCAGTTCTTTACGATCCACCTTTTGATCTTGTACCTTCAAATACGAGTTACCATTGGTCTCAGCAGGGTAAGGGTACGTTTGTGTAATATGCCTTACAAGAGATATCTTTATCAAAGAAGTTCACATGACAAAGTTCGCGGATGGAGGTCATGGCAGAACCACTCTCTCTAAATCATGCCACTGATGAATCAGTATTGACGTGGCACACGAACCCTAGTGCGTTGCGATATATTCGAACAGGCTAGAGTAGAAACGTAAGCCAATATATGGCTTATAGTAAAACTCTGAGGATGAGTAGATAGGACCATGGGTGGTCTATCAAAGGCGGAGCTCACTCAGACTCACTTAAGAAATATACCTAATAAAAAGTTGGTGGCCGTGTTAATGATTAAATAACATCGGGATTTTCGCACTAAAAAAGACGGGCACATAGGAGAGCCTATTTGGTATCTCACAAGTGTTCGTCTTTTTTAGCGCGAAAATCAAGACTTGAAGAAATATATTTTATGAATAGGGCTTACCCAGGCTCGCACTCACCAAAATAGTAGTAATCCAGGCTCTCTGAGAATAACGTACCGATCGGAATCTGAGTGAGTCGAGTAATAAGGGAATTTGTCGGCGTATGCCTATATAAAGCATGGGCCATCTTTCAAATAGAAGTGAAATCTTGTTAAATCCCTTCTCGCGTTCCCCCACTTTACCCATTTCCATCTCTCAGCCCTTGCGAGACTAAAATTTGGGGCTGCAGCCCACTAGGTGAGGCGAGTTTCACACCCCTGCTCTTAAGAAATGAACACATAGTAAGCTTATAAATGGTCAACATATGTCAATGCTGGGGGCTACACAACAACACCATGTGGAGGCATTTCACTCCCGTCTTCACAAAAAATATGGCGTAAACGCGGAATGATAGAACGACCAATAAAAAACGCAGTTTACTGACGTTTAGGCACCCTCTACAGAAACTTTGTGCACGATTGATTGTGAACAAGGCTGGCTGCCTGGTGTGCTGAAACGTAAGTTAAGTGCATCTTTTTTGAGTCGGTGTATCCTTTCGCGTTTAGACTATAAATTTTTCTCGCCAGGTGGGTTGCCATCACACTTTGGATTTCACAAAACAAAATATTTGCAATTTTGTGGTTTCTGTTTAGCAGATGAAGGCATTTCAAGGCTCCTCAATTTGAAGACAGATCCGTGCACCAACCTCTACCAACAGGTGTGTGGTAACTCTCGGAGAAATGCTTCGAGATTGGAACTCTCTCCGTTGCCCGGCTCTCTACAAGCGCGGTGGCTGGAAGTTCAGAAGGACATCTCGAGTGAGTCAGCGCACAAACTATCAGAATGACAGGTTATCTTTTTCGGAGGGACCTTGGGTGAATGAAACGACGCATAGTCAGTGAAAGTCTAGAAGCTTGTCATGCTCCTCTCCCCGCAAAATGGTCGCACTGTATTGTAAGCATCAAGCGACAGTGCTTAATTGCTGGCTATAGCGAAGAGGAAAGGGGGAGGCGCTTGAACTATCCCTCCCCCACTCTTGGTTACACCATTTATTAAGCATTGCCTCTTGATGCTTACAGCTTTGTCACCCCTTCCCTCACCCGCATACACAAAAATGAATTGAAGCTAATTTTTGAAATTATTTCTATTACTTTTGCTAAACTGCGAAATTAATCATGCACAAGATAATCTTGGTGTCTAGCATTCAAGCAAAATAAACAACACCCTTTTTTTGTAATCGTGCTCAGGCTTTTGTTCAACCTCAGGTTTGCTGGAAATGCCGCACAATGTGGGCTCTACAAGTGCGAAGAAAGTCCGTATAACCTACAATGCTTGTATGAAAGAAGGTAAGCACCCCTTTCGTCAGCGCTTTCTTGTCGTAGCCTCAAGCACACTGTTGTTATCAGAGACCTAAAAGCTATATTGCTGGTGACGGGATCTAAGATGCCAGTATGTTTTCAGAGAAAATGCCGCAGTTTAATCACAAGAAATACGACCAAGTGCTGTCATATTTGGATTAATGTTGTAGTAAAAAACTTCGACGTGTTTAATGCTTGGTACAACAGGTTCCTAAGAAATAAGTGTTACAAGATAATATTTCTAGGCCAGGAAAATTTTTTTTCGGGCTGCCAAGAAGGGAAGAGAAATGACAGAGAAGGGAAGGCAAGAAGCTTAACCAGTCCAGGACGGGGCTGCAGAACTTTCTTTCAGATGGCATTTGGGTAATTGAGCTGCATTGAAGAGACCCTGCCAGACTTTTAAAAGCAACCATCAGATAGGAGGAGGAAGAAGGCAAAGGCAGAAGGCAGGGAGGTTAACCAGAAAGACATCCAGTCGGCTAACTACACTGGGAGATTAGAAAAGGGTACAAGATAGATGAGAAAGAGAGAAGAGAAGGAAAAGAAAATAAAGGGAGAGATACAAACAATAAATTCCCTGCGGCATGTAGAACTCCAACGCATGTTAGAGGCGTTCACACAAACCCGTCTTTCTCAAGAAACGCAGCAGGGCTTTCACTGCCTCGTGGGCTGTCGAGGGGTGTGGACAGTGCTGTAATAGCAGCCGCACAGAAAGAGGCCGATCATCCAGTCGCCGCAATGCGTTGGCAAGTACTTGTCTGTCTGAGGCAAATCGAGGACAGTGGCAAAGCAGGTGTTCGATATTTTCATCGGTTTCACAAAGATCACACGCCGAAAACTTTAATAAAGGAGTACATAGCCTCAAGAATTGACCACCTCAAATATCTTTAGAATGCATTATTGGCTGTCCCTATTTTCTCACCCAGACGTGAGCTTTACAGAAGCAACGCACTGAAAAGAAGTTACCTCATGGACGCGTCATGACATTTAGCACTTAGTCTTTTTTTTTTTTTCGAACACGTGGCTTACTTTAAGAGAGATTGCGATCACGCGCACCGGCACGTGGCGCCCTTCCGCGGTGACATGAGTAACTGTGCAGCGCACGATGATCTAATCAGTGAACGGCCGTGAACTTAGATATATGGCACGGTCATTCGGCTATATGGCATTATTTGTGAAGTGAATATACTACTACTACTACTACCACTACTACTACTACTACTACTACTACTACTACTACTACTACTACTACTACTACTACTACTAATAATAATAATAATAAGAAGAAGAAGAATCATAAAACTCCCAAGCATTTCCCCGAGGGTGAACATGGTTAAGTGCGAATGCACGGGGTGATGCTATGAGGTGTATTTATTAATTCGCACTATTATATTTATTATTCACACTATGGTGCCTTTATGGTGTAATTTTTCCTGGGAATCGCAATTTGATCACACGGGGGAGTTTACGTTAACTCACTGGCGAATGCCAACGGATTTTAACTTTACTCCCCCTCATAGCATCACCCCGTGCATTCGCACTTAACCATGTTCACCCTCGGGGAAATGCTTGGGATTTTTATTACTGATGGTGATGATTAAAGTGTAATTAATGAATTTAAGTGTTGTTTGTCATGAAGCATTTGTACACATATACATTATATACGAAGTATTATTTATTTACACTTCACGATTTTTGTACGATGCATAAATGCCCACATTGCGAGCGCGTCACACACACACACACACACACACACACACACACACACACACACACACACACACACACACACACACACACACACACACACACACACACACACACACACACACACACACACACACACACACAAACTACACAACAGATTAGCACCTATTCGTGTTATCGTTGTAGCTCACGGTTAGTACCAGCACTTTGTGATCCGAGAAATGTACGGTGAGCGGATCCGGCAAGACGGAGCGGACCGTAAAGTTCCTACTGAACGCCAAGTCTATGAAGCCACCATTGATCGTGGTCGGAAACTCGAGAGACAGACACGTCATCGAGTAATTGTTGAGCATGTGGTCAACCAACCAGCCATTGTCCTTTCTAACACGTTAAAGTCACCCACCACCACAATCGGAACCGAGGGACGCGCGCGCACAGACTCACTCTCCATCGCCGCATCCATCTGCTCCAAGACGTCATCTCTCGAGAGGTTCGGGGCCAGAAAAGTCCAGCGCTCGCACCCTCTCCCGCGCGGCACGTTCACTGGCTTCGGGAACGTCCACTCGCCGTTGACGATTGCGAGCGGCGTCTTGACGCCGGCCTTCATCGCCCTTCTCCGCCTGACGCTTGCGTTGTCTTTCCTCTTCTTGGGCCGCGTTCGCGGCTCGATGCTGACGCCTCATCTCGGCCTCGCGAGCGCGCAGTTCACCATCCGCTGCACGATTCACCCGCTTGTCCTCGGCCTCGCGAGCGCGAAGTTCGGCATCCTCTGCACGCTTCGCCCGCTTGTCCTCGGCCTCGCGAGCGCCCAGTTCGGCATCCGCTGCACGCTTCGCTCGCTTGCACTCGGCCTCGCGAGCACGCAGTTCGGCATCCGCTGCACGCTTCGCCCGCTTACGTTCGGTCTCACGAGTCCTTCGACAGCGCCGCCTGGTCTTCCAACGTCGGCGAAACCACCGCGGTATCGTCACCTCCAACGACGGGTGCAGTGCTGGCATTCGGTTGTACTGCATTCGTTGTTGATGGTAGCGTTGCCTCCGGGACATCCATCGCACGACCCGCTCTCGACGGGAGACTGAGAGAGAAGGCGGGCGCGCGAGAGAGAGGGGTGCGCGCGCAGCTGCAGCGAGCGAGGAGAGCGGAGGAGCGAGCGAAGGGGGAGGGGGACTATCAGCGTCGCGTCCGTGGCTTATTCGGTAGAGCGTCGCGCTGCGGCCCGCCAAGTCCTCTTTCTTTTAAAGATAGAGAGAAGACTGCGGACGCCGCCGACGGCAGTGGATGGTTTAGGGTCGCTTATAAAGTGTATTCACACCTATTATCTGGGGGGGGGGGGGGGGCTTACGTTTCAGAACCAAAATAAGATTATGAGGGATGTCATGATGGAGTGCTTCGGAAATTTTTTGAGCATCCGGTGTTCTTCAACGTGCACTCACATCGCACAGTATACACGGGCCTCGACCATGTCTCCTCCATCAAAATGTGACCACCGCAGCCGGAATTGAACCCGCGACTTTCGTGACAGCAGCCGATTACCCTAGTCACTGATCCACCGCGGTTGACTTGTGGAAAGAAGAGAAAACGATTTCTTGCTGGGGACCGTCAAAATTAAATTGTTCGTGAATTCCAGGCTGCGTGCCACGTCGTAATCTTTGGCTCGCGTGTTTTCAGGGGTCTCGACTGCCGATCGGCAGCGTTTTCTGACCATGATTTTTTCAGAATAGGTGTTGCAGGGCTCCTTCACGGGTAAATGCAGCTATCAACTTTGTAAACAATAAATCGTGCACATGACACGTGAAGTTTTCTAAAATACCTGAACTACTTTACTATTGAAGCACCTGTAATTGCATTTACGACCACTATGGTTCATAAAGATTTTTTAATTGTTGGTGGTCGTTAGAGCCGCCCCACCTTACCAGCATATATGCTGGGTTAAGAGGAGGAGGAATAAACTTTACTTTAAGAAACCAGCCGGTTTAGGTGGCCGGGCCTAGGCCTCTCATGAGGGTACGTCAAGGGCTTGCCTCGACGCCGCCTCACGGGCGTGCTGGGTCGCCCTGGTTTGGTCGTCGAGAGCGGGGCTCCGCAGAGCCTCATGGAGCTTCGACGAAAGGGTCGTGGCGTTAGTGTGTCTGTACTGTGCCGGCCACTCCCACAACATGTGCGGAAGCGTAGCCGGCTGAATGCCGCAGCACCGGCAGTGGGAGGTTGTGTACGCGTCCGGGAATATGAGGTGAAAACGGGGTAAGAGTCACACTTTACTTAAGGTACATGTTGTATATACTATACCAGACTACGCTTTTTTTATCGCGTTATGTTTCAGATAGTGCCAATGATGTAGACAGTCTGAAGAACTTGCTGTCCGATTACGGAATATCCGATTGGCCGGCTATAAGCGGTAGTGACGAAGAGGTTTACAAAGGAGGATACGATATGAGTTTGCCCGAACTAGACGCCTTCTTTCACTACGACGTTGTTCAAGACAAGCAAGACAAGTCGAAGCATATGCTATCGGTAATGCGATAAGTGGTTGTGTTAACACTCTGATAACTTACTTATCGTTTAGAGTAATATTACTGTACATAAAACTTACAAAAAGACAAGAAAATAGGTAAAACAGTATATAAATCCCCCCCCCCCCAAAAAAAAACCCACACACTAAACCACCACTTTACCTCTGTATCAATATGTGTCCAGAAAAAGCGTTTAACAATTTTGAGCCCTTGGTACTCTACTATGGAGAGCTTAAAGCCCGTCCGTGGGCCTCACACTTGATGAGGCCGCATCAACAAAAATTGGAAGAAAAAGAAAAATGAAACGACACTGGCAACAGGAAGAAACTGCCATCGAATCGCTACCATTCAACAACTTGGACCCTTTTCACTGTGCACAAACACAGACCCTGGATTGCTTTTGGTTTTGACCAGCAGTGCCAAGGAAGGAAAGGCTTGGCGAGAAGCCCGCGCAGAGTTTCGACACTGTTTGTAAGCCAAATATGTCAAATAAGTATGCTTCTAACTTAAACACAAGATTGTGGCAGGAATTTGTGAATTATATTATAAATGCATGAAAAGAGGCTTTCCTCATTCTGGGACAACTTAAAAACATGGTTTACGGGTTGGTGTTAGACAATGCTAAATCAAGTGACCGGAAGTATTTTGTGTGTCAGAACAAATTGTGAATGCTTTAGAGCCACTATACGATGGAGAGCCATAAGCTGTCCCGGCTAAAGCCCACTGCAGTGAAATGGTCTATACCACCAAGAACCGTAAGAACACACGCACACACACACACACACGCACACACACACGCGCACACAACACACACACACACACACACACACACACACGCGCGGCGCGCGCGCGCACACACACACACACACACACGCACACACACGCACACACCCATACACACACACACGCAAACGCACACGCACACACGTGCATACACACCACACGCACACACACACACACACAGGCACACACACACACGCACACACACACACACACACGCACACACACACACACACCACACCGGACACACACACACACATACACACACACACGCAAACGCACACGCACACACACACGCACGCACACACACACACACGCACACACACGTGCGCACACACGTGCGCACACACACGCACACGCTCACACACACGCGCGCGGGTGCACGCACGCACGCACACGATATCACGGACCATCTCCCCGAAGAGAACCCAGATGGAATGCGAAGCAGCAGATGTGCGCATGGCGTTGACCCGGTTGAACGGGCGTCGACGTGGGTGCTGGAAGGCTGGTGTGAAGCGAACCTCGGTGTAGCGTTTACTCGAGTAAACGATACACCAAGTTTAGAGTACTCGTTCGTTAAATGCGAAGCATATCTTAAGCGAACTTCGGTGACTGAGCGTATCTATCTATCTATCTATCTATCTATCTATCTATCTATCTATCTATCTATCTATCTATCTATCTATCTATCTATCTATCTATCTATCTATCTATCTATCTATCTATCTATCTATCTATCTATCTATCTATCTATCTATCTATCTATCTATCTATCTATCTATCTATCTATCTATCTATCTATCTATCTATCTATCTATCTATCTATCTATCTATCTATCTATCTGTCTAGCCGCCTACGACATTTAGCTTTCCTGGCCGTTTGGATAATGGTATCAATACCAAACTTGGTATGGCATAACATGGCTGTATGAAGAACATATTTGACTAGTCGTAACATGAAAATCATGACATGCATGTCATGAATGTGATGATTTACATTTCACGGTCTTGCTGCTCTTGCGGTGGTTTCGTTCACGTGACTTGTTGCAAACTGGTATTGTATGACATGATTGCATGGCAAACACAAGCGACAGACCCTAAGATGAAAATTATGACATACGTGTCATGTTACAACATGACTAGATGCCACGCTCAAGATGCACTCTCCGCCATGTCGCTACTGTTGCGCGTCGTGGCGACCGCAGTCTGCGGGTAGCGGGGCCGGTCGCCGTCGCTCCGTCGAGCCAAGGACTAGGGGAGAGCTTTGAGCAAACTTAACGGATTTATTTACATCTTTACAGTGAGTTGTCGAGATGACAGAAGAGAAGAGAAGAGCGTTGGGCGAGGCACTGCACGCCATTTTTGTTGACCCCCGTTCCTAGGTCCCTAGGTTGGGATCACTACACAAAACACTACACAAAACACAAAACACATAACAACTATGCTCGTACTGCCAGTGTGACCTTAATGAAATCTACTCTTGAACTCCCAGATCTGGTCACGAGAAGAACAATTTTCCGTCTGTCGCTCTTTCATAAAATTTTCTTTCATAATCAAGTACTTAGAGAGGAATTATTCTCAGGACCTGCATACATCTCATCCCGTGTTGACCATCAAAATAAAGTAGCCATTCCTTTCTGCCACACCAACCACTTTTTGCAGTCTTTTCTTCCGAAGACAAGCAGGGACTGGAACCGCCTTCCCCCCTCCATTGCTGCCACTAAGGATCAAGGGCTGTTCAAATCCGCGGTTTCGAAACACATTACGGCGTAACTGCACACTGTTTTTCGTTTTTCGTTTTTCTTGTCTTGTTTTTCTGTTTTAACTATTATTTGTTGTATTTCCTTCACTGTTGTTATTATTATTTTTTTCTTTTTTTGCCACATTCATATTGTACCCACCCCCTCTGTAACACCCTCTGGGTCTTGAGGGTATACTAATAAATAAATAAATAAATAAAAACAATGCGGACCAATGGTAATGTGGCAGTTCCTCTTAATGAAGTACCGCCCATCATGTCTGTTAAGGAGGCACAACACAGGCTTGCACATACACACACACCCTTGCCACTAGTCGCAGCGCTGCCGTAGAACAGGGAGGAGGAGAGCGGAAGACGCACGGGCGCCTCGACTCCTTTGATGTCGGCCTCGGGCTGCGTTCCCACGAGGAGATCTTAGCGTGGCCTTTTGAGAGGTGCCAGGTTCGTGGAATTCTTTGGGGAGAGCCCTTTGACCAGCGCCGTCGTCGTCTGCCGGTTAGCGCGCTAACGATGCGTGGCTGGCCCAGGCGGGAGATAGAGCGGCGGCTCCAAAACTTCTTTGGGCGACATTCCACCCAGTTGGCGCCGCTGTTAATCAGTGGGCGCCGTCTCGTGGGGTCGGCCTCTGTTGCTTCCTCCGTCCAGCCGTGGCGAGACTGTCCTTTTGGCACTAATCCGGCGTGGCGAATGACCCGCTGAGTCAAGGCATAGCTTGATCGCTACACTACATACCGAATTTAGTATTACGGTACGTGAATGGATGACGAAGGCATCTGACTGATGCAAACATGATAATCATGCGTTGCGTCTCATGTAACATGAGTACATGCCATGCTCTTGATGCGCTCGCGGCCGTTTCGCTAGCTTCACCTGTACCAAACTCGGTATTACGTGACGCGAACGGATGACATAGGTAAATGACACGTCCAAACATGATAATCACGACATGTGTGTCATGTAACTACATGACTACGTGCTACGCTCATGATGTGCTCGCGGCCGTTTCGCTAGCTTCACATGTGCCAAACTCTGTCTTACGTGACGTCAATGGATAACGAAGGTATGTGACTGGTGAAAACGTGATAATCATGAGATGCGTGTCATGTGAGAACATGACTACATGTCACAGTGAAAGCGCCAATACATGATGTGGTGCGCGTGCTCACGGGCGTTCATTTCGTCGGGTCACCCAGCATTGCCACGCCAGGCACCAGTCCTGCCATATACTCACAGGCGTGCGCTGATTTGCTTTCACGCATGCGCGTTTCAGCGCGTCCGGCATCCCTCCGTCTCGATAAGAGGCAGACGCAGTGCTGTCTGGGTAACGCATTGGCGCCAAATGCATCATGTCGCATTTCGCGCCGGTTGCCGTCGGGCCGCGATGACACACACTGGTCGTGCCGGTTGCGCTTGGTGTCAGACTATAGAGTGCTCCCGTTTTGCTAACGTAGCGTCGCTGTGCCCAGCGTGCGCGCGCGTCAACGTTACGTTGGGGTAGATTGGGCCCTTGATGATGCTCTTGAGGCCATTTCGCTAGCTCCATATATACCAAATTTGTTGTTTCGTGACATCAATGGATGACGAAGGTATATGAGTGGCGCAAACATGATAATCATGAGACGCGTGTCATGTAAGAACATGACAACATATCCCGCTGATAGCGTTATCGCGGTGGTTTCGCTAGTTCCACATATATTAAATTTGTCATCACGTGACGTGAATATATGACGAAGGTAAACGACACATCCAAACAAGATAATCATGACACGGAAGTCATGTACGTCATTATTTACCTCCACCTCTTAACGTTGTGCTGATTTGAAAGTGGCATATCAACCTTCTCCATTCGTGCTTCGCATATCGTCGATTCCCTCTGTACGTGGGATCTGCCAATTTTTTCAAAACACTAAGACATAGGAGATAGGTTGGGTTTCGTGTAAGTTTCATTGCAGATAAACTAGCCAAAGAGCGTTTCCACTCGACGTGAGGTCGAGCGTAGCGGGTGGTGGAGAGGGTGAAGCGAGTGAGAAGTGTGTTGCGAGTGGGCGGAGAAGCCGCCAGCTGCGGGTACTTCGGCGAGAGAGTTGCGGGTGAGGGAGAAAGTTATGTCAGCGCGCACCTGCGAGGGGAGCGTGACGTTAACGCGCCGGTGCGGCGTGACCCACTTGGCACTGCTTCAACACCTCCGGTGAGGGGAACGCGTTGCGGTGGGTTCGTACGGATGTACGTACGTACGGCGTTACACTCCTAAGTAAAAAAGCTGCTTCGCATCTAAATTTCGTGGGAGTGTGTAGAAAAAATTCTTAACAATTTAGAGTACCACGTACTGTCTATGGGAGAGCATAAAGCCGTTCCGTGGGCGCCACACTTGATGAGGGCCTGGCGACGAAAATTCCGCTGCAGAAGCGTGACCGACTAATGACTACACCTGTGTGTTCAGAAAAAGTAGTTATTGATTTGGAGTGCTCGGTACTCTGCTATGGAAGATGTGAAAACCGTCTCTGGCCTCACACTTGGTGAGTGCGGGTTGAAAGATAAGGAGCATGCCTGAAACTTTGTGTTCAGAAAAAGTTGATGACGATTTCGAGTACTATAGGTACTCTACTAAGGGAGATCAAAATGCCACCCCGGGGGCCTCACACTCGATGAGGAAGACAGACCAGTCACAGAGTGCAAAAGTCTGCGCGATCGGATCACACTGTATGTGCATGGTATGTGTGTGTTTAGAAAGAGTGGTTAACGATGAGGGTACTCGGTAGTGTACTGTGGGAGAGCTGGAAGCCGTCCCCATGAACAAGCGGCTATATGTGGACAAATATTAAGCCAAGACTTCACAGAGTTATGTAAACTAGTTCGCTCTCACAACTGACGTGGTGACAAATAGGACCAGCCAAAAACGTGGCTATTCCGCTGGTAAAAAAGTGTGTCCTCTACGTAATGGTGTCCCCGGACATGAATTGATCTTGTTCTGCCACTGTTGAAATAGCAGATCTTCAATCACGTCGAAAAAGCTTCAACTTTTGTTTTACGTCGACATTTTTTCCTTGCAGGTTCACAGGGCCTCTTTACCTGTTTTATACGCAAGTGTTTTAACAAGCAAATATGACCTTGAAGATGAAAGGCGTAATTCACTAGAACAAGACCGAGTCCCCCCATTACCAGAAAGCCAAAGAGAAGCCATGAACGAAAGGAAGAAAGTGGCTGGAAATATGTTGAATAGCAGCAGAAGTGATACCGGCAGTGAGAGCGAGGCAAGAGGTGAAGACTTTCGAAGCTCCGAAAGGCGCATCATACAAGAGTACGAAGCGTACGTTAAAGCAGCGATTGAATCCTTGAACGGGTTAGTCAGCAACCAATCGAAGGAGCTGGCGAGGGGAATCATTAGTTTCGAAGCGCATTTGGCCGAGGTGAGGGTTTAATTCATTTACTTTACGATATGTATGCAACGCATGCACTGCACGTTTAAACCGGTACTGCGGGTAATTTGACCAACGCTAAAAGACAGTGTTTAAAGAAGCTACCTGCGGGCCACTGGGAGTCTTATTTTTATATTTTTTTTGTTTTCTTCTTTTGCATGTCTTTTTTTTTTTTCAATGTCTCCACACTATTTACAATCTGTATTTCCCACCTCCCGCGCAGTGCAGCCAACCGGATGTCCCCATCTTGGTAACCTCTGGGCCTGTCTCTTCTTCTCTGTCTGTCCTTCTATCAGGCAGGTAACCGTGCACAGGCGATCACACGCAATCGTTCTAACTCGCATTGACCCGAGACAGACGTCGGCAGCAACCACTTTTCAATGTCGTCGTGAACAGGACATCGCGATATAAGTGAAGGCGATGAAGGTACTGCTAGAATTTTCGATAACAGACTTTCGCAAGGAGTTACAGTCTAATAGTGTTATTCGCATGTGCTGACAGACTGTGAGCTTGCGTTCGCTCCCTTATTTATCTCTCCCATTCTCTCTTTCTTTATACCTCTCACTTTCGAGCTCCCTAACCTTAGAGCAGAGTAACCTGCCGGCCATTCACAACTGGTTAACGTCCCAGCTCTACCCATCACCACACACTGAGGCCGTACAACAGGTACTGGACGTTCTACGTCCAGTGCTTACAAGCCTTCCGTAGGCATCATGAGCCGACGACCTTCAGTGGAATGAGACATGCCTGTAGTCCTTCGTCCACTACTATAGAACGCAGCAGTGTAGTTCAAGCTCACCTGTTTTTCTTTTATGTTCTCTTCTTTCTATATATCTCTTTTCATCCTTCAATCTCCTTCCCTCGGGGAAGGGTAGCAAACTGGACGCTCGACTGGTTGACCTTCCTGCCTTTTCTTCTGCTACCTCCTCCTCTTCCGCCTCCTCCTCCTCCTTTTATTTCTATTGTATCTCTACCCCATTTATATTCTTTCCCTATTGTATCTCTACCCTATTTCTATTCTATTTCTATCTATAACTATTCATACTTCTGCTTCTCTTCTTATTCTTCATTCAAAAATATTCCAGTGCTTTGTGGATACGGAAACACGTTCGAGGTGGTAATTGTATGCAGTAAACAATATGTGTCTACATTACTGCAAACCGAGCTTTACCTATTATGATGCCTACTCAACTTATTGACTCGTATTAGAAAAAGAGGGAAAGTATGAAGGACAGGCGCGTGAGCTAAACGTTGTGCGTTAAATATACACACCTTATACTGTGTGTATATTTAATTAACCGCTTACATGTTTCAAGATGCTGGCTTGACCCAAGTAGACTGTGCCTCTCTTGTCTTATAAGTTTATTATCTTCTGAAAAACAGACACGTTGGGAAGTTTGGCACTACATGTAGCTCTGGTGAAAATTCCAAGTGCATTTTTCGAAGATACCATTTGCATATTCACAACATTTTTTTTTCGAGCACCGAGGTGGATAGTAACCCTTGGTTCACTCCTTTAGATTGCATCTTTCGTTGTTTACAGCTTGCGAAAGCAGACGCTGACGCTCAACGGAAGACCGCGATCTACACATCATTAAGAAGATTGAACGAAGAATACCCCACGGTAAGAGCCAGCATTGGTGTCTGGCACTAATTATTCATGTTTAAGTTTAATTGAGCTAAAATATATAACCGACACGAATCCGAGCATACTTCGAAACGTAGATCAAATGCCGAGTGGCATTTCAGCTTTCAGTGATTGTTTAAATGTGGCCGCCTAAAACAAAGTGAGCCATTGTTGTTACACGTTGTGCCATCTCTCAGAGAGATTTGTGACTGGCAGTACTACCACAAATGTCAAGAGAGCGCCACTTGCCAGAAGAGTCTGAGGGAAATTTCTTGAGAACGACCGGAAGGAAACTGATGGTTCAACAACTGAAGGCCAGGGTAACGATTTGCGGACGTGACAGCCGCACTTCGATGAAGGCGAAATGCTGGAGGCCCGTGTAGTACGCGTCTTTTAGTACGCCGTCTTGTCTTGAGCCTATATATCACATCTTTCTTTTCAGACATATTCCCATGGTTATGCCCAATTGTTGTGAATGTTTAATACTGTGTAAAAACAATGTCAAAACGTAGTCGGCAAATAAATTATACGTGCTTCTTACGCTGAGCTCAAGTTAAAACGTCTCATAAAAGAAAAGGACACGGGTAGTGCGTCCTGGAAACACCACCAAACGCTGAAGTTATACTGGAAAGGGATAATACTGCAGGACTTGAATTCGTTCGACAGCTAGATAGCGGTGACGGCTCGCCAGGTATAAACTGCATATCGCAGATAACGTGGTGACATATATCTTTTCCAGCTATCTTTGTCTACACACTTCTTGGAAAAACATTTAAGGAAGAAGGGAATAACCCTCCAGTACGACACCAAGATATACATAGCTGAACCGGAGTACGTCGAAAATGTATTCTTCCTGCTACGCAAAGCAAGAAGGTAACTTAAACGTGCTTTCAGACACTACGAATAGAACTCTGCTCATATTGTACAGCAAGCGCATGTGATTTTGCTAAACACTGTATGCGTGGAAACTGTTTAATTGGCTCACAGTGGACCGATACGTACCAGCGTATCAGAGAAATAATATTTTTTACATAGCCCATTGTTGGACATTAACATATAGCCACCTTCTGTAGTGATATATTAGTTGAATAATAGACGGCCTCGTTTTAAAAGTAACCTATGCACATCCATGGAAAGCTACGTATAACTAAGGCTGAGATTTCCAGTTTTGTGTATAAGAAACTTACTTAAACTTTTGTTCACACACGAAAAGAGACGGGTTTTTTGTATCAGGCATGCAACCCCGTTTTGTAAGTACCTTTGTAATTATGAGTTATATTACGTGCTCTTTGCAGGTATCAGATAAAGAATTATGTAGGATGGCGAATAATAGCCACTATGGCCCCCTTCGTGATCCAGTTAAGAGCACATCACCAGAAATTCATGGCTCAGTACGGATTCCATGAAAAGAAAAAGAAAGACATCTGCGTGGAAAGCGTAGCTGCTAAAGCAAGTCCCATGAGACATCTGCTCAGCAAGATGTACGTTGAAAGAAAATTTTCGCTGGAGGCCAAAAAGAACGTGCGTATAAAAATTAGCAATTTTTTTAGAACCAAACTAGACAATTGGTTGAACTTATATACTTTTAATAGTACGCGGCCATTTTTTGGTGCGTATACACTTAAGCTCCTTCTCGCCTCTTGAAAGCGATGGTCGAAAACGATGGAAACTGCCTGTGATTCTTTAAATAAATAAAATAATGTGTGCCTTAATAGCACAAATAACAAAAGGAAAGTAAAAATGAGTTTCGGAGATTTGCGCTCGAAGAACACGATGTGAACTCGAGGATCGCCATTGTGGAAGATTACAGGCCAATTTCAAGGAAATGGGGTCCTTTAATGTGCATATCAAAATGAGCATACGTACGGATGTTACAGCCCCCATTGATATGCGACTACTACTGCCGGCAGTAAAAACCGCGGATCGAAAATCACCAGAGGAACATATTGGCGAGGGGGGTAACAAAAACCGTTATCCTTTGTTACTACATTTGCAAAGTGTACGATACAATAGCAGCAGACCAATGGAGCAGACATTTCATTGCGATGACATTGAGTATAGAAAGAATATGTTAGGCACAGAAAAAGGAACCAGCAGGTGAAAAGTGGAATAAATTTCCCTGGTCCATATTCGATTTACCCTGGGAAGAAGAGAAGTACTCCCTTTTCTGTTTTTCTTCTTTTTTTTTGCTTTCTTTATGCGCAAAATTTGCCAGGTAAGGTAAGAAGCACATTTCGAGCCGCCGTTAAGATCGCTGAATAATAGAACACTGCCATTAAACTTCGAACGTAGGCATGCAGGCTGCTGTAGAAACGAGGTTGAGACCTTTAAAAAAACTACGGATGTTCTTATCAACATGCGACCGTAATTTTTGGCCCAGGTTCAAACGATGTCAGAGCTGATTCAAAGAGCACTGCTGACTTTCCTGAGTAAGTTAAAGTGGAGGACCCACAAAGCCCGACAAACGACCCTAAAAGCGGTAAGGTATCATTTTACTTATCATGGCGCGACCGAGCTGTGTGATACGCTGATAACGATGCATATTGTGTATTTTTATCAACTCGATGTTTGCCTGGTCCGCAAAGGTCACAGAGATGACCAAGCTGATTGGTTACCCCGACTGGATGGACAACGAAGATGCCATGGAGGGACTTTTAGGCAACGTGAGTATCACTAAAAAAAAATAAGCGTAACAATGAGATATTGCACTTGCTAATCTTTTCAGGGTGATGACAACGTGTAGATCACTGCGAAAGTAATAACAGAGAGAGAGAGAGAGAGCATAAGTGTATGGTGAACTATGGTCAATAGGGTAGCAATGAATTTAGTGAAACGACATATTCACTTTCTGAAGTTAACCCAAGGGGCCGTTCCAAAGTAGATAAAATTACTGTCCCCCCCCCCCCCCCCCACCCCTAACAAATGCATGTTCTTGGAGAAACAAATTTATGCGCTCTAAACGATACGCTTTTTTACTTGCCATTTTTTCCTCATATTTGGTCTTGCTTTGCTTCGCCTTGCCTTGACTTGTTTTTCCTTGCTTTACTTGCCTTGCTTGCTTGCTTACTCGCTTGATGTTGAGAACGAGCGAGCAACGTATACAAGTGGTGTTGCCATTGCATTACGCGAGTATAGTAACGACATATCCGTCCGTACTGCAAGCACGTTAACGCCTAGTGCTTTTAGAACAGACGCAAATCGCTACGTGGAGGCGCAAAATGTTGTATGCCAGTGCGCTAGATTTTGGGTGCACGTTAAAGAACCCCAGGTGGTCGAAATTTCCGGCGCCCTACACTACGGCGTTTCTCATAATCATATGGCGGTTTTGGGGCGCTAAAACCCGGATATCATATCAAATCGCTATGCCATATCAAAGTACGAAAGAAGCGGAATCGTTCTAAGGGATTGTTTCTTTGTTAGACGCATCTAATGATGAATCTAACACTAACAGCCCGACTCGCCTCATGGACGCTGGCTAAGAGTCCTAGGGACTAAGCAAACATAAGCGCCTTAAACGGGGACGCGGGAGCACCTTCTGTCGTAGCTTAATTGTTAAAGCATCGGACGTGTAATTCAAAGGTTGTGGGTTCAGATCCCACCAACGGAAAGGGCGATTGGTGATTTTTCAACCACCTTGATTACTTGCAATTTAGGTAAAAACTTAGGCCACAGTTACCAACATAACTAACATAAACACTCCTATAATTGCCTTGGATTAGTTGTCTTTTGATGTCATTAAATGACAATTACAATGTCATTTATGAATTGTTTACAGGGAACCAGGACGTGTTTCTGGCAGCACACATTATCGACCCCTAAATATTTGAATTGAACCCATAGACAAATGAGCAATGAAATAATGCACAGATTTCACTCTTTAGACAGTTTCCGCTTTTATTTCTTGCTTTCTCGCTCCCTTTCATGTGTATCTATTTCTTATTGAGCGAGCTCGTTATTAGTATTTTCTTCGGAACAACTAGAGATCACGCATGCAATGGAGTTTAATCCTATGCAAGAGGTGTCTTTAAATGAAGTCGTTGGGTGCATATTAACTGACACGCATTTTTTCTGTTTTAGGTACGCAACTTCACCGAACAATCACCCTTTGTTCGGATCTACGAAGAGTACAGGAGGGCGGCATTTGACGACCTAATGAAAAAGCTCTCCACGTCTTACTCGGCGACCAATGAGTATGTCTGCGACATCGTGTTTCCAATATTTAGCGAAGGCCTGACCGCGTAAATAACAATTTTTCATAATTAGTACGGGACGGCTTTAGGCTCTCCCATAGTCGAGTATTAAGTACTCGAAATTGTTAACCACTTTTTTCTAAACGCAGTCGGAATGTCTATTCCCGCCTTTACCAAGGGACGGATACACGCTTTCCCATAGTAGAGTATCTAGTACTCTAAATCGTTACCCACTTTTTCTAAGCACAGGTTACCACGAATGTGTCCGTAAATTCAGCCGATTTTTTAAGGGGATCATACATTAAGACGCCTTTTACGGCAAAGTGCTAGCAGCCCTGGAAATACTTTATCAAACGTACTACTTGTAAAAGTCGCGCAAAAACGAAGTCGGGCACTAACACTCGGAATGCTACCATGACGTCAAGAACTATACCTAATACAGGGAGCTTTGTTAAAGAGACGTCAGTGTGATAGTAAAAATAAGGCGCAGTGGTGTGGATTGGGCGTGATGGTAAATTATGTTTACATATATAAAGTCGTCTACATATGTAGTGCATGAATTTAGAACTTCATACAACGGGGCATTCGTTGTATTATTTTTAAGACGAACGTGATAGTTTTATGGTGTTGTACAAGTTGTATATTGCATGGCCTACTAATTTATTATGTTTGAATTTCATCATGTGTACTCTATGTTCGATACGTCTATAAGGGCTAATTTTTTACACTTCGAAGTGCTAAGAAGTAGCCGGCACCTTATGTGTGCATCAACGTTTGCTCAGTATCATGTCTTTCTTTACATCATGTCTCTCTTATGTGCTGCCCATTTGAAGTCGTATACGTCATACACACAACTAATTCAACAAAAAGGATTAGTAACACCGCAAGAACATCAGAGGAGAAAAAAGAAAATACAAAGCTCTCAGCATTACTAAAAATCAGTGGGGTGATGACCATTAATTAATAATTTATTGACAATGATTTTTGGCTCAAGAACGTATAGGCGAGCTACCTTAATTGCACTACTTCACCTTAAAGCGTTCCGCGTAACCATGAGTGCCATATTCTTATTTTAGATGGAGCGGGTCGCCTACGGATGCCACATTTGGATACGATGCGTCATCGAACACGATATGTAAGTGAATTCGCGTTGCCTTCCATGTTCTGTTAAGGCCCATATATTTGAAGAAGTGGCGTTCCTACGTTTGTTAAAACATTTCGAGAGTGTCCATGATAAGTGCTGCTTTAAAAAATGATTACAGAAAATAGAGTCACTGACGCATATCTGTATACCCCTTCCTACAGACTTGCCAGCCGGAGTGCTACAACCCCCGCTGTACTCTCTAAACTATGCCGGGTATGTTGCTTGCAAGGCTTATTCTCTTTAAACATGTTAACGACATACCCAGCCCCCAATTATTATCTTTTTTTTCTCAGCAGAGCTGTCAATTATGGCAAAGTTGGTGTCATGATCGCCCATGAAATGGCCCGAGCTTTAAATGCACAAGGTAGGTGCACGCTACCTAATATAATGTAAGTTCGCAGAGTGGCTTTCGAACAAGTTTGAATTCTTTGTGTGTGGATGAAGGAGCCCTACATCAAAAGCTTAAGTGTTTTTATCTGTGGCAGAAGTGCACTACTTGTATGTTAACACAGCCCTCGTTTGGGTAAAATCAAACTTTCATTTATCATTTATCTTTTCACCGCTCTCTTTATAGATATTCAGTCAGTTGGCGACAAGTCTACATGTTCGAAAATAACACTTGAAGAATATTACGAAACCAATCCCGTTTGCCAAACAGTTGTGCGCCATGCTGGCGATTATTTCAGTTTTGACGAAGAGGTAAGCCGAACAGCTTTCATTTTTCTTTCTGTGCATTCGTAACATAAGTACGCGTTCTAAAGTGTTTACTCTGATGCGTGAGTATTCATCTTGCGTGATCGTCATATACATTCGTAGCTCCAGTCACGGTGATAATTTCATTGCAGCTACAATGGTGATCCGGAACCGTAGCAGTGACTAGTAGCGAGAGGTACGGGTTTCGATACCCAGCACCTTTACCAAAAAACCTGTTACGGTTAATTTGGGGTTAACTATATTCATTCGATGAGACCAAGCAATGACACGCGACGATGGCGTCCATGGGCCAAACCAGCATAACTACTTTATCTTCCTTGGTTCATAGCGTGGCCCAGCTTACGTCATCGCAATATTCTGTATGTGGTCGACCAAAGCAGAGTAACAAAAACACTGTGTTCAAAAGTTGTAGTGCAGTGGCAGATTCTAAACTTTGCAAATGACAGGAATGCGATGACATGTTTTCAATAGGATTGGCGTTGACACGCTAGGATTCTCTTTTGTTACTTTCTAACCTAAGTCTTTCGCACTTTTAAAACGGCATCAGCACTGTAGCTGAACCGTAACACTGTTGGTCTAGCAAGTTCCCAGATACATTATGGCAGCAGGGAAAGCCTGGCGTCTTTGCGTTCTGGCACAGCACACGAAACTTCGATCTTCTTTTGGTCACTCGCTCACTACTATACAGTCAATAGGATGGACAGTTTTGAAGCTGCCTGAAAGTATAGATGGCTGTTAACGTAGATATTAAAAAACTGCATCGCATCGGACCACAGTGAGTAAATACAACTGGTTCACGAGCGATATATATAGGTCCTTCATTTTTCTTCGAGACGACGAGGGAGAGAAGGAAAAGCGCTGACAAGCCGCTTCACTGGCTCCGCTTCCCGAATGTACACTTGGGAGCGTTTGCAACAAACTGTGCTGCACAATGTGAAGCAATAAGAAAACAGCTGTACAATAATATACAGTACAAAATAATTAACAGCATGCTTAAATGGCGCAAATAAACAGCAACAAAATAAACGTAAATGAGGAAGAAATATAGATATCAGTAACAATGCAATACATTTTTTCCTGGATATATAAAGGAATTACACACACACACACACACACACACACACACACACACACACACACACACACACACACACACACACACACACACACACACACACACACACACACACACACACACACACGCGCGCGCGCACGCACAAACGCACACAAACACACACACACACGCACGCACAAATACAGAAATGAACACTCGGAACTGGAGAATTCAGCAGCTGAAAAATGAAAAGAAATAAAAAAAAAAAAAAATGCGTTATGCTTTAAATTTTCTTAAAGGACAACGCATGATGTGTCAAAACACGCATAAAAGCCTGATTATTTTGCTAGGCTAATGGGCATTGTTTCATACTTTATGCCCTGAAGAGGCTGACATAATGAACACATATATATTGTGGGCTTGTCAGCAGCAGAGAAGGCAACATGCTCAGTAATCCGCTTTGCCTTGCAATACAGGTCTTGGCGATTCTTCTTGGTGAAAGCCCTGCGGTATGCACCGTCTTTCCGGGGCTGGCTCGGGATGATGACGTCACCTCGTCTGGCTGGCCTGGCGAAGCCTGGTTATCATCACCTGTGGACGATCGCTGCTGCATCGAGGAAACAACGCCCCTTCTCATCTTAGCGTCCACGTGGAATCAACGCCGAGTGACGTCGGTTCCCGTGATCGCTTCGGAGCCTTTAAATCCACGGGCAGTCTTATACCATGGCAGTGGGCTTGTCAGCAGCAGAGAAGGCAACATGCTCAGTAATCCGCTTTGCCTTGCAATACAGGTCTTGGCGATTCTTCTTGGTGAAAGCCCTGCGGTATGCACCGTCTTTCCGGGGCTGGCTCGGGATGATGACGTCACCTCGTCTGGCTGGCCTGGCGAAGCCTGGTTATCATCACCTGTGGACGATCGCTGCTGCATCGAGGAAACAACGCCCCTTCTCATCTTAGCGTCCACGTGGAATCAACGCCGAGTGACGTCGGTTCCCGTGATCGCTTCGGAGCCTTTAAATCCACGGGCAGTCTCATACCATGGCAGTGGGCTTGTCAGCAGCAGAGAAGGCAACATGCTCAGTAATCCGCTTTGCCTTGCAATACAGGTTAGTAGGTACTTTCCTGCCCCCTGTTATCGAAGTGATAACCGATTCCTGCTGCTGCTGCCTTGCCCACTGTGTCTTAAACTTCTTTTTGCTTGCGTCACACCTATACCTGTTGATCTGTTGGTTTGCGGTGACGTTGAAGCTAATCCTGGTCCCCTTACGGAAAAGGAAATGCTATCTCAGCTTCTCGCTGGCCAAAAAACAATGAAAGCAGCTATTGAGAACGTACAGGCGAACCAGAAAGATTTAGTTGAAAAATTTGGCACGCTAACAGAACGAGTGGATGCCATTGAGCGTCACATGAATAAATTTTCCGCATTGCCTCAACAAGTGAAAGTACTTGAGGATACTATGACTCAAATGCAGCAAAAATTAGCATTCCTTGAAGGTAAAGTTGATGATTTTGAAAATCGGAGCCGTAGAAATAACCTAATCATTTATGGACTAAAGGAATCCCCTAGGGAAACACCTCAGATGCTCCAAGATAATGTCGAGGAAATCCTCGAAAATACATTAGGTATAAAGGCAATTACTGTTGAAAGATGCCACAGGCTTGGACGCATAGTTGAAAACAAAGACAGACCAGTTATTCTAAAGTTTATTGATTATCGTGAGAAGATGTCTGTTTTGAAGGTTAGGCACAAGTTAAAGGGCTCTGTATTGTCCTTTTCTGAAGATTTTTCATACAGGGTTCGTGAGGCACGCAGAAATCTGTGGAAAAGTTCCGAAAAAGAGAGAGAAAACGGTGCTAAAGTTAAGCTACTCTACAATCGACTGAGTGTGGATGGGAACTTGTTCAGTTGGGATGAATCGAAAAATGCACGTGTTAAGCTAAAGAAGAATGAAAAATGACGGGATATGTGCAGTGTACCGTCGCTGAAAATACTAAATTTAAACTGTAGAAGTGTTATTAGCAAAACCACAGAATTAGAAGGAACCCTCCTGGCCTATAGTCCCCATATTGCTATCCTAACCGAAACATGGTTGCACGATAACATACTTGATAGTGAATTTGTTCCGCGGGGCTACCGTGT